TGTGACTCAAATGATAGAGTGCTAGCTTTGAGAAAAAGCTCAGGAACAGCACCCAGGCCCTGAGTTCAAGCACACACGCACGCACGCACGCACGCGCACACACACACACACACACACACACACACACACACACACACACACACACACACGTAACACAAGAGCTGACACCCGAAGCCAGTCTCACCCAGCCTCCTGGGTCAGGGCTGTTGTGTCATATGGCTGGCCACCTAGCTCCTTGGCTGCAGGGCTCTTACCTCATCAGCCATCTGAGTGAGGTCCCGCTTCATTGCATATGCATCTTCTCCATCTGCATAGTATTTGGGCTCCACTTCGCTGATCCTGAAGGAAGGAAAATCCAAGCCAACCTATGGGCAAAGTCTCCTGGTCTTCTGTACCATCTACTAATTGGGTGTCATTATCCTGACTGATTTTGCTCATCCTGAAAGAACTCTTTCAGCTGGGTGCAGGTGGCTCATGCCTATAATCCTAGCTATTTAAGAAACTAAGATCTGAGGATCACGGTTCAAAGATAGCCTGGGCAGAAAAGGCCCCAGAAGACTCCTATCTCCAATTAACCACTGAACCATCAGAAGTGGAACTGTGGCTCAAAGTGATAGAGTGCTAGCCTTGAATAAAAAAAGCTCAGGGACAGTGCCCTGGATTTGAAGTTCAAGCCCCATGAACAACATGCACAACATGCACAACATGCACTTCTCTGTTGAACCCACAAAAGGCTAGTATTAAGCACCCATTACATTGCCTACTGCTCTATCCCTAGATTGACTAGTAATGACGTGTGTGTGTGTGTGTGCTCTGAATCCAGTATTCTTCCTTCCCTTCCCTTTGTTCTCTTTCATTTACTGAGCAACTGCTGGATCTTCTGCTCAGCACTAGTGCTGGGAACCAGGAGAGGGTGCTAGAGCTGCCGGAGGGCGGCTGGAGAAGAAGCAAGACTTGATTGCTAGTTAAAAACAAAGGAATTGTTGGCAATTCCCATGAAACAAGTCTTAGATGCATCCTTGGCTAGGTCAAAGGATTCTCCCTGGATTGGGCGTTGAACCTGCTCCAAGCCACTGCCCTGCCCAGACCTTCTCTTCACCCTACCTTCACACTACAGCTGAGTGTGCCTCAGTGGGCCCTCCATGGGCTGCCCACTTCAGCCTTACTCTCACATGGCTTTTTACCTATACTGGGCACTGCCAGGTTTTGTCTCCCTTGAGGGACACAGAGAAGCCATGTTCTGAGCAGACCTGCCCCCACCTACCAGGATGCTCAGGGCCCTCAGCCCTTCCTTCCTGCAACTCCCTTTTCTTCTCACACACGGATCCTTGTGGGTGACAACATTTGGGACATCCTGCCTCTCAACCTCTGTTCATACACAAAGCCTGTCACTCACCAACTCCAAACTCACTCTGAGAAGCCTTCACCAGGCTTGGCGGTGGTAGCTCACGCCTGTAATCTACCTACTCATGAGGATGAGATCTGGGGATCACGGTTCAAAGCCAGCCCAGGTTGCAAAGGCTATGAGACTCCTATTTCCAATAAGCTCCTCAAAACAAAAAGAGCTGCAAGTGGTGCTTTGGCTCAAGTGATAGAGTGCTAGCCTTGAGACAAAGACGCTCAGGGACAGTGCCTAGGCAGAGTTCAAGCCCCAGGACCACCCCCCCCCAAAAAAAAAGCCTCCACCAGCTGCTAAATATTCCTATACCCAGAAGACATCCAGGCTTCTGGTTCCACATCTCACCTGGGGTAGACCTCACCAGGCAGCTCGTCAGCCAGTAGCCACTGAATATAGAGACATGTCTGGAGTCTACTGCCTCCTCCCCTTCCCAGTCCCCCCTGTCCTGGCCCAACTCGGTACCATACCCCAAAGAAAGATGTCGATGTACTTACTGAAAGTTGAGGGTGTTGGAATAGAGGTGCAGGGCGGCCCGGTTACTGCAGGGGAACAAGGCACTGCTGAGCTGCACAAACTTGGCCAAGCAAGTAGGCAGGCCATGTCCAGGTCCTGCCCCTCCTCCTGGTCCACCCTTCCCACTAATCCTACTTCCTCCCAGGTCTTCTCCAAAAGGCAGGACACCCCAGAACCCTTGTGAAGATGGTAAGTCTGCCTCCCCCTCCCCCACATTGCCCCTTCCCTCAGCTTGGCTTCCACCTCTTCCTGACATGGAGGGAGACGTATTTAGCATTGAAGTTCTCTATCATGGCTCGAGAGGCCTGGTCCATCAGCTTCTGAGCCAGGCCAAGGCGCCGATGGGAACGCTTCACAGCCTGGAAGAAGATGGAGTAGGAGTGGGACGTTGATGGCTGCCCCTCCCCCATCCATTCGGGCCCAAGCCTCAGCGAGCTCCACTCACCAGTGAGGTGATATGTCCATGGGGCACGTCATCTGGGTCCTCTTCCCTGCAGGAAAAAGGAGGGGCCTAGAAAGGAGCCTCGGGTAGGCACACTTAGCAGTGCAAATTCCTTGAGGCTGAGCCAAAGGTATCCTAGACTCGGGCTGAGAATGTCAGGGATCAGGTAGCTGGCACTCTACCATTGAATCCACATGTCCATGTATGCAACATATTTGCAAAGGAAGAAACCCAGGAAAGAGGTTATATGGAAACTCTGTACCTTCTGCTTAATGTTTCCACAAACTTAAGTTGCCCTGAAAAAATCCTATTAATTTTTTGTTGTTTTGTCGGTTGTGGGGCCTGAACTCTGGACCTGGGCGCTGTCCCTCAGCTCTTCAGCTCAAGGCTAGCACTCCATATATATATATATATATATTTTTTTTTTTTTTTGCCAGTGTTGGGGTTTGAATTCAGGGCCTGCGCACTGTCTCTGACCTTTTTGCTCAAGGCTAGCACTCTACCACTTGAGCCACAGTGCCACTTCCGGCCTTTTCTGTTTATATGGTACTGAGGAATTGAACCCAGGACTTCATGCATGCTAGGCAAGCACTCTACCACTAAGCCACATTCCCAGCCCTCCCAACATTTTTTTTAACGCACAGTAGTCCCTGGCACTGGTGGCTCATCACGCCTGTAATCCTAACTATACAAGAGGCTGAGATCTGAGGATCATGGTTGAAAGTCAGCCTGGGCAGGAAAGTCTGTGAGACCCTTATCTCCAATAAAGTACTCCAAAAAAGCCAGAAGTGGAGCTGTGGCTCAAGTGGCAAAGCACTAGCCTTCAGCAAAAGAAGCTCAGGAACAGCACCCAGGCCCTGAGTTCTCCCCCCCTCCCACTGGCATAAAAAAATAGGCATTTAGTTACAAGGTATCTGTATCATTACAATGTATCATCAGTACTGTATCCTCACTTAAAACAAGTACTTCCCAAGTGCAACATGTTTCTGTTTGCTTCGGTTTGGTTTTGTGCCAGTTCAAGCTCATCCTCTCACTGGGCCTTTTCACTGAAGACTGGTGCTCTGCCGCTGAAGCTACATGTCCATGTGTGCAACACAACACGTTTACAAAGAAAGATATTATATGGAACCCTGTACCTTCTGCTAAATTTTTCCAGACTTAAGTTGTCCTAAAAAATAATCCAGTCATTTTTTTTAAAACCCACAGCAGTGTTTCTAGGTCTGGACAGTGTTGGCTTCCTCCACCCATGGTTGATCCCTTCCCAGCCCCAGAACTAGATTCCTTTCTTTTTGATGACTCACATTTTGGCCAGGACGTACCCCACAATCTTCCCATTCTCGTCCTCAGCAATGTAAGAGAGCTGGTGACAGAAGAAAAGGAAATCAGAAAATCAGTTTGCATCCGAGCAGGCTGGAGGATCTCCCCCTGCCTCGTGCCTGACAGCAGGGGTGAGTTCTGACAGCTTGGGACCTCCTGGCTGAGTGGCTCAGTTTCCCCTAAACCACAGTGTGTGTGCCTTGTCCCAGACCTGAATGAGAACAGACACAAGGTAGGAAAGGGGCTCCTACCCTGCCTGGGTTCCATGCTCCCTTCAGGCACTTTCCCCTGTGCCTCTGCATGGCATCAGCAGGCCATACAACTCCCTGGGCTCTTTCATGGTCTTGGCCATTCCTTCCTTGACCTACTGAAACGCTGCTCACCTGGGGCCAGGAGAGGCCGTGGTAGAAGTAGTATTTCATCTGGTAGTTCTCAGGCAGGCAGAGGAGGTTGCAGTGCTGCATGTTCATCAGGTCCTCGGGCTGCAGGGGGGCACAGGGGCCCGCACTCAGTCCCGGGCTGCGGTGACTAAGTAGGCCTCAGTCAGGCGAGAACCCGGCTCCTGATCTAGCATCTTCTCCGACTGCCCTCCCCTGGAGCTGGGCAGGGCTGTGAATATGTGACTTTGCACGCGGCCTGGCCCACAGCCGCTGTACAAAATACCCCTTCCCAGAAAGGATCTAGAAAGGCAGGAGGTTCCGGGAGCTCACCCCACGGAGCTGTGACATCAGGCAAGCCGGGGAGCTTCGCGACCCTAGCCCAGCGCGCCTTGCAGCCTCTGCGGGCTCACTCAGCCTTTCAGATCACGCGGCCACAGGAGCGCAGGGCCACCGGGTCCCCTGAGAGCATGCGCACGCGGCCACCCAGCCCGGCGCCCACGCGGCGCGGACAGCCTCCCGCCCCGGCCCCTCACCCTAGCATTGCGGATGTTCATAACGGCGGCGGGGCTTGCGGGTCCCAGCAGATCGTGAACGCGCAGTCAGCTGCCGCTGCGCTCCAGAGCAACGCAGGGGCGACCCGGGCCAGGGCTGGAGCTAAGGAACCGGCTCTCCGGAGCGGCAGCGGAAGAGGCGGCGCGCTCCGGGCCGGTCACCGACCGGAAGTATGGAGATCGCTCGACCCGCCCTCCTGGCCGCAGGCCAATGTGCAGGGTGGTCCCGCGCGCAGGGCGGGCCCGCCCACCGGGCCAATGACAGCGACCGGCCAGCGCGCTGGGCGTGGGCGCGGATGGGCGCGGCGCCGGCCGGGCGAGCCTGTGCCTGTCTGGCAGCAATGCGGGGCGGTCACCGTCCCCCTCCCGCGGGCCCACAGAACGTGCACACACTGGCAGGTGGATCAACCTATTTTATTTCGCGCCTCGGCGGACAGGGGCCGAAGAAGGGGAGCAGCTGGGGTCGGGGTCCGTGGCGACGCGGCTCAGCAGGGAGCCCAGCATCTTCTCGCACATGGCTAGACACCGGGGCACGTGGAAGCAGCCTGCGGGAGTGGGGGAGGCACGAGCACGCACGCGGGTTGGGAAGGGGGAGTGACCCGATTGCCACGACCCCCCGACCCCCCATCAGTCCCGCTGAGTCGCTGGGGACTCACCTTTGAAAGGACCCCCCTTGATGGTCAGCGCCACCTTTCCCTCTCGATTCAGATAGCCAAACCATTCCCCACGCTCGGAATCGCGGAACTGTAAGGAGACAGTGACAGCTACCACCCGCAAGCCCCACATCCCGATGCCAGGGTGAGGGAGGGAGAGGGCCTCGCTGTCCGGCGACCACACATCCTGGTTGAAAAGGAGAGCTGGGAGCCCTGGCGCACAGCAGGCCTTGTGCTGCTGGTGGACTGGAACAGGGAATCAAATCAGCCCTAAACCTGGGGTCTATTAGCCTGATGGTGTATACAGGTGTTGACACTGTCCTAACTCTGAAATGAATACTTAAAGGCTGGAGACCTGGCTCAAGTGCTTGAACACAGCCTACCAAACAAAAAGCAATGAGTTCAAAGCCTAGTACTCTAGCAAAACAAAAACTAAACAATCCTTGCTGGGTGCTGGTGGCTCCTGCCTGTAATCCTAGCTACTCAGGGGGCTGAGATCTGAGGATCATGGTTCCATGCCAGCCTGGGCAGAAAAGTCCCCTAGAGACTCTTATGTCCAATTAATCACTCAAAACCTGGAAAGTGGGGCTGGGAAGGTGGCTCAGTGGTAGAGTGCTTGCCTTGCATGCATGGGGCCCTGGGTTCCATTCCTCAGCACCATATAAGCAGAAAAAGCTGGAAGTGGTGCTGTGGTTCAAGTGGTAGAGTGCTGGCTTTAGCTGAAGAGCTGAGGGAAAGTGTCCAGGCCCAGAGTTCAAGCCCCACAACCAACAACAAAAAAAAGTTTATGTATGGGCTGGAAAGGTGGCTCAGTGGTAGAGTGCTTGTCTTGCAAGCATGAGGCCCTGGGTTCGATTCCTCAGCACCACATACACAGAAAAAGCTGGAAGTAGGTGCTATGGCAAAAGTGGTAGAGTGCTAGCCTTGAGCTGAAGAGCTCAGAACAGTGCCCAGGCCCAGAGTTCAAGCTCCTCGACCAGCAAAAAAAAACAAAAACAAAAACAAAAGTTTATGTAAACTGTATTGCATACAATAGATTTAAAGTAAAATCCTGATGGATGCTTGTGTGCCAGGAAACTTGTGACTCCGTTGGAATTCCTGTTCCCCCAATCCCTCAACTCCCCCTGCCCAGGGTCTGCTGTTTCTGATGGGGGGACAGCAGGTAGGTTGGCTGAAATGACCCATTCTGAACTCTTTCCCACCTGCACCCCACCCAGCACCCATTCCACCCAGGCCTTTCACTTCTTCCAGATCTCCCAAGATGTGCTCAAAGACCCCAGCTGACGCTCTTGTTCCTCACTGATAAGTAGATGGGGCCCCTTCTCGGGATCCTAGAGTAAACAAACCAGGTGCATTAAAGTCCACTGTCAAAACCTCCTTACACACCTATAATCCCAGCTGCTCAGGAAGCTGAGATCTATCCATCTCAGCCTGGGCAGAAAAGCTCTTGAGACTTCATCTCTTTTAGTTAAAAGCAAACCTAGAGGTGTGGCTTAAGTGGTAGAGAGCCAGTCAAGTCTTAAATTGTGACACGATGATGTGTTCTTCATATGAGGTAAAAACTAGTTGTATATCCTTTTTCTTTTTCTGGTGTTGGTACTGGAATTTGAACTCAGGGCCTTTGTTTTCACAACTTTTTCACTCACAGCTGGAGCTCTACCACTTGAGCCACACCTCCACTTTCAGCCTCTTGCTACTTAATTGGAAATAACAGTCTCATGACCTTTTCTGCCAACGCTGGCTTCAAACTGAGATCCTGAAATGTCAGCTTCCTAAGTAGCTAAGATTACTGGTGTCCAGCCTTCCTGGTTATTTTGGAGACAAGAGTCTCGTGGATTTTTTTTTTCTGCTGAGGCTGGCTTTAGACTTTGATCCTCCTTCAGACTTTGATCTCAGCCTCCTATGAAGCTAGAATTAGATAGGAGCCACTGGCCCTGACTTTTTTTTTCTCATTTTTTGTAACACTGCTCATGCCTTTTCATGACTTACATTTCACTTGGACACAGGAAGACAATATACTAGCATCACAAAAAAAAGGAGAAAAAAAAGTAAAGAGCTGGCCACCAGTGGCTCATGCCTGTAATCCTAGCTACTCAGGAGGCTGAGATCTGAGGATCACCTTTCAGAGCCAGCCCAGGTAGGAAAAGTCCCTGAGACTCAAATCTCCACTTACCAGAAAGCAGGAAGTGGTGCTATGGCTCACAGTAGAGGGACAAGCCTTGAGCAAAGGAGCTCAAGCCCTGAGTTCAAGCCCCATTACTAACAACAACAACAAGAGATAGTAAAGATTTTCTGTGTTTTCTGTTCAGTTTTTTTCTGGATATCTGGATTTTTGTTTTACACATTGTTTTGTTGCTTAGTGTTGCTTACCTGTTGGTTACAAGTTTTTGTTTGTTTGGTTTCATTTGACACTGGGTCAGGCTGGTCTCAATATCTCATGATCCTCTTTCCTCAGCCTCCAGAGTATTGGAACCACAACTGTGTACCACACATCTAGCTCTTGTGATTGTTTAATGTTATTTCTAACCTGTTCATATAGATATATGGCTGGGAAGGTGGCTCAGTGGTAGAGGCCCTGAGTTCGATTCCTCAGCACCACATAAGCAGAAAAAGCTGGAAGTGGCGCTGTGGCTCAAGTGGTACAGCACTCACCTTCAGCTGAAGAGCTGAGGGACAGTGCCCAGGCCCAGAGTTCAGTTCAAGCCCAGGACTGGCAAAAAAAAAAAATATATATATATATATGTGTGATTATATATATGATATATATATGTGTGTGTGTGTGATATACATACATATATATGTATATATAGTGCTGGTCCTGGGGCTTGAACTTGAGGCCTGGGTGCTGTCCTTAGGTTTTTGTGCTCAAGGCTAGCACTCTGCCACTTGAGCCACAACTCCATGCCCAACTTGTTTGGTAGTTAATTGGAGATAAAAGTCTCATAGACTTTCCTGCCAGGGGTGGCTTCAAATGCAATCCTCAGATATCAGCCTCCTGAGTAGCTAAGACTGCAGGTTTGAGCCACCAGCCTCCCATTTTGTTTTAAACCAGTGGCCTACTCTTTAATGAATACATTCAGCAGTGAGATCGAGACACAGGTGTAGTATTTGTGCTGTTTGGAGATAATGGTAAACAAGTGAGATGGCTAAAGATGTTGTTCTAATTGTATTGTAATAGAAACACAGCTAGAATGTGGTTGGCTCTAATCAAAATGGAAATAGCGTTACATTTCAGTTACAAGTTAGTGCAAATTCTAATTTTCTCTAAGGTCTCAAGCTCATAGACTGCAGATAAGAATCTCAGCCACACTCCCAGGATGACCTTCACAGGCAGGGGCTAGGAAAACACTATCAGTCTTCTTATTTCCCACTCACTTGGGCTTCTCAGGGCCCCAAGGTAGGGTTTTTTCCCCCAAATAGAGGGCTGATTCTTATCTCTTTCACTGGCCCCTCCCACTCCTTTGCTTAGTTTAAGAAAAAGCTTAGTTTGACCAGGTGCTAGTAGCTCATGCCTGTAATTCTAGCCACTAAGGAGACTGAGATCTGAGGGTCACAGTTAAAGGCCAGCCCAGGCAGGGAAGTCCCGATGAGACTCTTCAGTCCAATTAACCAGTAGAAAACTAGAAGTGGAGGGCTGGGAAGGTGGCTCAGTGGTAGAGCGCTTGCCTTGCATGCATGAGGCCCTGGGTTCGATTCCTCAGCACCACATAAGCAAAAAGAAAAAAGCTG